TACATGCCAACACATACTCAAGCTTTTAGAAATTGCATAATTTTTATTTTATGTGTCAGCACATACGAATTTCAGGCCGACACATGCACCGCAGTTTTAAAAGAAAAACGCTACTGCCATGCTTAGACCGACACATCTGTTTTTCAGACCGACACATATAATTAAGTTTTGACTTATGTGTCAGCACATACGATTTTCAGGTCGGCTCATACTGTTTGATTGGATCAATTTTTCAATTCTTTTTAATTCCAAAAAGTACTTCTTTACATCTAAACTTCCACGACTATAAATGCATCATTCATGTATCATTCCAACTTGATGAAACTATAAACGAATAATGCATTTACTCTTCATCTTCAACCTCCAACCTATGCATATACACTGATAAATCACACATAATTATCTTTTATCGAGGTACCATCTAGGCGAGGTTTGATAATGTCCAATTAGGTTCTTGTGTAGCCGAGAATATTAAGTTGAGATTTGCAGGGGATTTCATCTAGAAAACCGCGGATTTGTCCTCAAAGATCGATGGTATATTTGAGGATTTTTGTGCAAGACATTCAAGAGAGGATTGCATCATAGTGAAAGCATTTGGAGATAAAGAACGTAAAGGAAGTAGTGCGAGAATGACGAATCAAATTGAAGTGTCTTGTTTACAATAGGTACAATTGATCGCGCATGAAAGCTTTGGAGATGAAAAACACAAAGGAATAACAAGATTCTCTTAATCAATTGGTAGCTATTGTGTCTTGGTCTTACTCAAGATCAAAATAAGAGAAGGGGTTGAATCAATAACAAACGGTTAGGAAAATCTTTAACTATTTCGAGAATTGAAGAAATATTCTCAACCAATTTAGTCATTTTTCAAAGTCTTTGAAACTTTTTTTTGGGGATCGCAAAGATTGATTTTGAATATTTTTACCCATACTTATAATTTTCTAGACATGTTTATTATTCTTCAATATATTTCCTTCTTCTAACTATATATATATTTTTTGATGACAAAAGATGGAGAAGAATGATAAGTATTTAAGCATCTGAATCTGATTGATTGATATTATTTTTTGCTTAGATTCTGAAGAATTGTTTACTATGCTTCAGAGATTAATTTTATTAACTTGACTAGGACTTAGGGGGAGCTTAAAAACCTCACCCTTAGGACTATCTTACTTAGAGGGAGCTTACAAGCCTCACTTTTAGGATTATAAGATTCAGGGGGAGCTTAAAAATATCAGACCCTGAAGTCAAAATATTAATTAAATCAACAACCATTATTCTTAAATACTTGTGTTTGTCATCATAAAAAATGGGGAGATTGATGAAACATAATTAACTTATACCATATCCCTTTGGTTTTGACGATAACAATGTATTTAAATAAAATTAGGTAGACTAATGTGTGCTCAAGTGTGAAAGTATAAAGATTAATATATTGATTGAAAGTAAGTTCGGATACTGCACCAAACATTGAAAGAGAAACTCTAAAGAGGAAGATTCTGAATATCATACTCTGAAGAATCAACTTCTGACAAAGTCATCTTCTGATGATCAGAACCTGAAGACTCTAGACTCTGAACAAGTCAACTTCTGAAGATCAAGTCAATCTCTGAAGACTTAGAGTCTGAAGGACCGGAAGTTAAGATTCAGACTCTGAAGGTCCAGAACCTAAAGCCAGTCAAAGCTTAAGAACCAAGAAATGTATGACAAGCCGTTATCAGACTCCGAGGTTAATTTGTCTTCTACTGGTCACGTGAAGACTTACCAGAAGTTGTAGAAGCCTGAAGATTTTGAACTGATAATTATTTTTGTAGAAAATGAATTTCAAATGGCACCGCAATGACATTAACCATTTCAGGAAGCTTTGCAACATATTTGTTAATGCTTATCTCAAAGACTCTTTTGTTCTAGAAGTTTTCTCCAACGACTCTTTCATGATTCTCTATATAAGGAGATGAACATTTGGAAAAACATACAACACGACGCCTTGACAAAAAAAAAAGTTACTCTGTCAAAAATAAAGAGCACAAGTTAACTTAGAACTTCTTACCAATTGTACGTTCTTAGAAGTTCTTAAGTATTAGAGTTTTTTGTGTTGTATTTTGTTTACACCTCTGATTGTATATCAAGTGTAATTATCACTCTATCACTATCATTTATCTGTTAGATAGGTTGTAGAAAGTCTCTTGCTTGTGTGTTTGAGCATTTGAAAGTCTGTTTCTTGTGTGCTTGAGCATTGAAGTCTCTTGTCCGTGTGCTTGAGCAACCAGAAGTCTCTTGTTTGTGTGCTTGAGCATTGAAGTTCCTTACTTGCGTGTTTGGGCATTGGAAGTCTCTTGCTTGTGTGCTTGAGCAACTTGTAATCAAATTTAGTTATAGTGGAAATCTCTTGAAAGTGGAAGTGGACTGGACTACTCCTGTTTTATAGGAGGAACCGAGATAATAGCTTGTATGTTTTCTTGCTCTCTTTATTATTTTTTATCAATATTTTTCTACTTCATTCATCATTAGACTCTTATCGAATTCTGAACATTGTGATCAAAATCTGACAAGTGATTTTAAAAGAGAAAAAAAAGTTAACACAATTCAATTTCTCTTCTTATATTTTTCTCACCTTCAAAACCACCATGCATTAATGTATGTCAGCATGAGAGAATCTTCATGCATGAAACTATGCATAACTGTAACTATCTTTCAACCTTCAACCATGCATCTCTTGCTATATATAAGTAGTTATGGTTATTTGTAAAATGATGAAAGTTGAATGGAAAATGTGGAAAACACAATTTGGAAGTGAACAAACTCAAATTAACTATCTATATTTATAATAATACTTCAATTTTATTTTCTTTCTCTTAACCGATGTGAGATTTGATTGAATATATTATTTGATCCAATAACACCACCATATAAGAATTGTCGAAGAACTAACATGCTTCTATCATTTTATGAATCATGAAACCTATTTAGGTTAAAGAGGATCTCAATATGAGTCAATAGTCAAATGAGAAGAAATAACTACAAGAATAAGCACACATATTATCTCAGATGCACTATAAATAGAATATTCATCCTCTACATATTATCATTCACTTGATACATGCTTATACTCTTATTGTCAAGTTTATAGATTTTAATATAAATTATTTCAAAAATTGACCAAAAACTTTTTTTTTCTAAACAATTGTCTTTAGATAATATTGAAATTTTCAAATAATTTGGGAACTGGGCAAAGTAGTTAAAGCTAATGAATACACCAATAAAAAACGTGTTATTATTATATGTCAATACCAAGAATATCTTAATATGAAAATCATGCAATATTCAACTTTAAATATAAAACATATGGAGTAGTTAAATAGAAAAGAAAATATAAATAAATGATAAAGTCGTAAACCTTACATCAAATTCAAGACACCACATTGAAAATAAAACCTGAATTAAAAAATATTATTATTAATTTCTTCTTTTCAATGTGATGCATTCATCATTCCATTTTATGATACTAGGTAACAACACAAGGATAAGGATTGACAAACTTGTTAAACAATGTTTGTGTTGATGTCACATTCAAAAGTAAAGTAAGGTAAAGAAAATGAGATAAGAGGGTCCATTTTTGTCAAACACATCATTATTCTTAAATTACACTCAATTAAATTAGGTAATTAAGGTTTTGTTTTTCTTCTAAATAGGAGACATCACACAAGGACAAAGACCTTTGCGTGAAGTACAAAATAATAAAATATATTTCTTATATTTCTTTAATTTTTCTCGTATTAAAACAAAATCAACACTTCATATAATTAAGACCGTTTATAGTATAATTCTGTTAAAATATTAAACTGAACCGACTCAAATTATTATGATAATTATTTGAATCGAATCGAATCATTTTATTTTTTTAGAATTGAATTAAATCAAAAGTTTTAATTTGATATAATAATTTGGAATTTCAAATTGCACCAAACTATCAAAAGATATTTTTTTAAAAAGGAATCATTTTTTAAATAACCCAGGTGTTATATTTGACTTTGTTAATTCGATTTTTTTTTTTGAAAAAAATTTATCTTTTTTTATTTCTGTAAAAAAAAAGAGGTTTTTATTTTTCAAAAATAATCAATTTTAATTTTTTTATTAAAAAAATTGACTTTTATTTTCGCTAAAAGACAATTTTTTTATTTTTCAGGAAAAAATGATTTTTTTTTTATTTTCACCAAAAATTGATTTTTTTATTTTTGAAATTATTTTATTTTATTTTTGGATAATCGATTTTTCTAATTTAAAAAAAAATCGATTTGGAAAAAATCAAAAAAAAATTTTCAGAAAAAACTGTTTTTTTTTATATTCGAAAAAACAAAAAAAAAATTATTTTTGGAAAAACTGACTTTTTTTTAAAAAAAAAAACTATATTTTTTACTTTCAGAAAAATCTTTTTTTTTTAGAAAAAAATCAACTTTTTTAATTTTAAAAAATAATTTTTTTTTAATTTTTTAATAAAGAATTCAATTTAAATACTAGAATAACAACGGTTCAATTCGAAACTATTTTAAGATTGATTAATTATTTAATAATTTAATTTTAAAACTATTACAAAAATATAAATTCAGTTCACTAATCATTAAAAATAACTTAATTATTTTAACTTCAATTCGATTCTTTTGATATTTTATAAATGACATTTGAATAAATAAAAATAGTTAATATTCCCATTGTCTTTTACATAGAAAGAGAGAAAGGGTCTCACCTTAATGCAATTCAGATTCTGAAAGCCAAAGCAGCCAACAATAAGTTCTTAAAAGTTGATCACCAAATTCATTGTTTTGATTCAAATTTAACCATTATTTTTGTAAAGTGTGCTTCTCTATTTTCTTGTTTTCCTTTCCTTTTTTGAGTTTTGTCTTTTCTTTTTAATATAAAATTATATGATGGTTTTCTGTATTTATGATTTGGAATTTGTTGTTATCTTTGTTTGGTTCCAAGGTTGGAAAAGCAGTGAAAGAATGCCAGGGAAAGCTGAAACTGATGAATGTGGAGTAAAGCATAGTGATCATGTTCATTTTTCATCTTCCATTTATTCTCATTCTCATCAACCTTTCTGGCTTGAAAATGCCTCCAAATCATCTTCTTTTCATCAGCTCAATGCTTCAATCATGAATGGTCTCACTAATTCTCGCGGGGACGTTGCCAAGGAGCACCCAAACAACAAACACGCCCCGTCCTCAACTCCATTTCCCAATGCTCATTCAACTGTAAGATCTTTATCATTACATTTTTCGAATATTTGTTAGACATGATCGTTAACTTTTGTCCTATCCTGTTGCAGATTTTAACATCGCCTTATTCAAGTCCACAATTCTCTCCGTTCTTGGCTACTTATGGACAACCAGCTATGGTATGCTATCACCATATTGCGACTGTGTATGAAAATCAATCTCACCCGATATTTTTTTAAAGTATTTTCATTGATTTCGAGAAGTTATTAAGAAAGATCTTGAGATTAACGATTTGAATGGAAGCATGTAGCCGACTCCACTCACTAGAATAAGGCTTTGTTGTTGTTGTTATTTTTACTAATAGTATCGTTTTTAATATCCTTAATGCCTAATACCGCTATTGGCATGATTCTAGATGAATCCTGAGATATACCAAATGCATCATGCTAGAGTGCTTTTGCCACTTGTAATGGAAGAGGAACCTGTTTATGTTAACGCAAAGCAGTATCATGGTATTTTGAGGCGAAGACAGTCGCGCGCTAAGGCGGAGCTTGAAAAGAAAGTTATCAAAGTTAGAAAGGTATGGCTCATATATCTATCTACCTCATACCATTATAGTTGATCAATCATAGTAACGTCTGTATCATTCATTTCTTACAGCCGTACCTTCACGAATCCCGTCACCTACACGCTTTGAGAAGAGCGAGGGGAAACGGTGGTCGCTTTCTCAATACAAAGAAGCTCGAACAAAACGATTCTAATGCCGCCATACAAAAAGGAAACAATACTGGTGCAACATTGGTTACCAACAAAGAGAATCAAGGCTCGTCGATGCATAAAATGCCGGGCTTCCACATCGGTTACCACCACGATGGAAATGGCTTTACCGCAGCATGTCATTCACAGGAGGGTGAGTTCTTTGGTAAACAGAGGGACTCAACTGGTGCTATTACTATACAGCAATAGGTAGATATTCATCTCATAAACTTCATACTAGAAAATTTCAATTATTTTTCCAATCTGAATTCTTACATGTGTATTGTGTCATATATTGTAGCTGAAGATGAAGGGTTTTGCTTCATCCAACTTATGATGCTGTGAATCAATGGCAATTCATTCTTGGCTCAGTTACTTAGATTATAGTGGTGAGACCCATAACATGACATGGCATGGTATGGTACAATTCATGCCTTGTTTGCTCTCCCCTTGCCTGTGTTTGTAAAATGGGGATAAAGAAATCAAAAAATTACTTTGGTTTGTAAATTTTACAAGAATCACTTGTGTCACATATACTCCACAAAATCTTAAAGCTTTCATTAATCTTACCTATCCTTCTACAACATTATCTTTCGATTTCGAACGCACCCTTATTTAAAATTTGTTTTGTTTCAGTGTCTTCAGAAATTATATTTCATACTGACTCTTTTAACTTTTACTCTAAAACCAAAATAACAACAAAGGATAATGAGTGTGTCTTATCTTTAGTGTCTCTAAAAGATAATTTTTAGATACATTTTTTTAATTTCTATGGAGGTCAAATGAACAACAGAGGATAATATTTGAAAAATAATTTATGGAAATTATTCGGAAGATATTGGAAGTAAATAATAATTCAAATGCATATAATAGATTATTGGAAGTTAATTGTGGGTTTCAGCTTCTCAAATAAGCACTTCTGAAATAAAAAATAAGTTGTTTTCGGGACAGTAAATAGTTACACAAAATGTGATAACCGGTTACATGACAATGTTTTTTTTGTTATTTTAGTTGTGGTTACCAGTTACACAGTTTGGTGTAATTGGTTACCAACCCGAGGCTTATTTGCTTTATGTTTTTAGATCTCAATTGTTGTAGCTTGCTTGTATAAATACCCTTTGTGGTATAGTGTAGAAATTTAATGATAATTTCTCTTCTCACCCTCAATTACTCTCTCTCACTCTAATTCTCTTATTTTCCCACTTTATCTTCTCCACAAGCACAAAACCTCCAGTGACTCAATTGAATGTTCTAATATTTGGCATTAAGAGTTTTGGTTTTGATCCATAATCCGATGTGCAAAGATGACTACCGTCTCCAACGAAAGAGTCCCTATAAATCTACCAACCCTTGATTCGAAGAATTACGATAAATGGTGCAAGCAAATGAAAGTGTTGTTTGGGTATCAAGATGTTCTTAAAGTGATCAACAATGGAGTTACTCCCCTTGTTGCAGGAGCAACGGAGATGCAAAAGGTTGCACACAAGGAAGAAAATAAGAAAGATTACAAGACATTGTTCTTAATCTATTCTTGCGTCGATAATGACAACTTCGAGAAAGTTGGTGATTGCAACTCGGCAAAACAAACATATGAAATCTTGAAGAAGGTTTATAAAGGGGCTGATAAGGAAAAGGTGGTGAGGTTACAAACTCATAACCGATAGTTTGAATTAATTCAAATGGAGGAGAAAAAGACAATCAACGACTACGTAATATGCATTACGCGTTTGGTGAATCAAATCAAGTCTTGTGGAGACACTGTTTTGGAGCATAATGTTGTATCGAAAATCTTGCTTTCTTTGACACCAAGATTTGAGAATATCGTAGTGGCAATTTAAGAGTAGAAGGATCTTCTGACGTTGAGCAAAGAGGACCTTCAAAGCTCTGTTGAGGCTCGTGAACAAAGGATGAATGAGAGGAGTAGCGATAAGGCAAAAGCAGAAATCACTATGCAAGTACGGCTCAATGATAAGAACAAGAAGTCGAAAGGAAATAAATTCAAATTACTCAAGAACATAAAGGAAATAAATCATCTTACACCCAAAATACTAGAAATATGGGCAGATTCCCGAACAACTGAATGAATAAAATTAAATGATTCAGTAGTCTTAGTAAGAACTAAAGAAAAGTTGTTAAGTGGTTCTTAAAAAACTGACATTTGTCACATTTAAAATACTATGTGTCATACCTTAATTTTTGACCTAGGATCCCACTTTCTTTTGCATCATTGCATAACATCAAGAGATCATCTAATTCATCTTTGCATTAATAAGAAAATACAAAAAAAAATCTTGTTGTGCTTGCTTGTGTAAGACATGGTTTTTGAATCAAGAAACATTGTAAGTACAAGTATTGATCCATTAGGATTTTGAATTGGTCCTCAAGATTCAAGTTTCACTTTAATTCATAGTGATCAAGTGATTCCCTCCATCAACATTCAAGTTTTGGTATCACATCAAATCAAACTCATCAAGACTCAAAGCATTGTATACATCAATTAGGGTTTTAGCCAAAGTCAGCTGATTGTTGACTTTTGGCCCAGAGCTTGATATCATGACTTGAAGTATAATTCAAAGAGTTCAAATGCATCCCTATGATATAATTGTGTTACTCAAATGATTCAAGAAGATGCAATTGATGATAGTTGAAGTTGTGTGGATCAATTGATAAAAAGTCAAATATCAGCAAAAGTCAAAGTTTGACTTTTGACTTTTTTTGGTCAAACATGGACTTCAAGAGTCAAGAATCATGAAAGTATGGTTGATAGTTGAATTTGACCAAGAGGAATAACCAAAATTAAGGTAACTTGCAAAAAGGGTAAAGTTGAAGAAACTAAAAATTTCACTAAGTGTCAAAAATATCATGTTCAAGTGCATGACTTTCCAAGCTTGTAACTTCTTCCCCAATCCATCTTCATGCTCAAAGGACGCACTTGAAGATGATCCTACATACTCCAGCATTGTAGAAGAAATTAACTCAAAATCTCATAAGGATTGAGATATATGAAGTGTTGAAGTTAAGGTCTCAAAGTTGTCAAAATGCCAAAGACTTAGAAATATTCTCTAATTTTTCAGCTCGAAACTCCATTTTTGTGAGGCATTTTTCTTCATGATCCAAGATGATTCATGTCAAGTGATCAACATGAAAGTTGTATAAGATGCTCTCATCTTTCCAAAAAAATCCAAGAGCATGAATTTATCACACTTGAGCTATGAGTTTCAGAGAGATGAACATGGCTTCCCAAAACTGCATTACAAGTCATTTTAGCCAAGGTAAGCTTCATGATTTTCCAAAGCCTAAGCTATGAAATCTTCTTTTCAGGCCATATTACTTGCAAATATCAATATAATTTAGCATTTACACAGATCCTTAATGCATTTCACAAGGAATTGATCTATTAACCATTTCATGATATCATATTTGGAAGAATTTGCAAAAAGCTTCATATCCATTTGCATAAAGATGACTTTAATCACCAAATCTTGCATTGAGCCCATACCTTTTTATCTCTGATCAGACTACACTTCTAAGTAACCTCCTACAACTCAGAAAAGCATCCTTATTTCCCATCAATTAAGCAATCTTTCATCTTGGAACCATACCACTCATGTAACTTCCACTTGTGATCCACCTAAACCAAAACTCCATAGCTCTCACTTCTGAACAGTCCTCAATCTCTCAACCTTTCCCTATAAATAGAGAGCCATTCTCAAGTCCAAGACACCTCAAATCCCCTAAGAATTCAGAGAAACACATAGTGATATTTTTGAGAACTCCATTAAAGCTTAAAATCCATTTCTTCAAAATTTACAAACTTTGCAATTTATGAGCAATCTATTCATCCAAACACCATCCGTATACATCATAAAGACTAATTGTAATACTGTGGGAGAACTAACTTGTTTTGCGTTTTATCGCAAATATTGCGGATAGCAAGAGTCGCCACCGACTTTTCTTTTATCCAAGAAGGAAAGGATGAAAAGAACAGGAAAAACTTTAAAGATTTTGAGTTCGGGGGGTAAGTTATGAAAAGAGAAGGTGTTAGAACCCTTTTCATCCTTAGTTATCTATGGGCTCTTAATCGCTTAGCTCACTTTGAAAATTTACTTTTGTGTGTGTTTGAAAATATTTTGAAATGCCAATGTAAGGCGAACTTTGTAATGATTCTTGTATCAGTCCTCAAGAATGCGTACAAAGTGTTTGTTTGAAAATATTTTGTTTTGAAAAGTGTGATGTGAAAATGCTTTATTTTGAAAAGTTTGTGAGCGAGCGATTAACAGTATTCTATCCACTCAAGGTCGTTCTTGCCATTTTCCTCCTCCTTTAGAGATAATGCTATTTGTACCATTAGTTGGTAGGAAGCCCTATCTTTTGGATGTGAAGGGACATGCGAAGGGTCATCGTTCGATCATCGAAGGCAACATGTAAGGATGCTTTAGCAATCTCGTAAGGGATTTGATCATTTTTTCGAAAGGCAACGTCAAAGGGTCATCGAGGGACTATGATCTTTTGTATCAAAGGGACTTTGCTAAAGCATCCTCACTTTCGAGGGACATGACCGTTTTGTTCCGAAGGAAACGAGAGAGGCTACCCTAGAGGTGCTAGTATGCAAGTGTGTTGATTCAATTATTTAGTCTTGAAATTAGGTTTTCTAGCGTTTGTTTTTAGTCTTGTATTACAAGCCTAATTACTAACAACAATACAGTAAATATAGTAACAGAAGATAAAGGCGGAAATGTAAACCTGGACTATTACAGAGCTTTGGGGCAGTTACATAATAGTGAAGTGCGGAGAATAAAAACCTACAACTATTACATACTAGGAGCAGTTACATAATAGAAAAATGCGGGGGGAAAATAAAGTTATGCTATTATAGTTGAACGCGCCCTATACACTTTATCTAGGAAAATAAAAATAAGATGAAAGTAACAAAGGAAATGTTTTGGTGATTTTTTATGAAAAAAAAAAGATTTATGATAATTAATTAAATAAACCTAAAAAAACCTAATTGATTTTAATTAATAAAAAAAGGTTAATTTTGAAGAAAAAAAAGTTAATTAAAAACCTAAAACCTAATTAATTTTAATTAAAAAAAAGGTTAATTTTGAAAAAAAGTTTTTAAAAAAAAACCTAAAACTTAATTAATTTTAATTAATAAAAAAAGTTAATTTTGAAAAAAATGTTAATTAAAAAACCTAAAACCTAATTAATTTTAATTAATAAAAAAAGGTTAATTTTATTTAATGATAAATAAAAAACCTAAAACCTAATTAATTTTAATTAATAAAAAAGGTTTATGTTTAACGATAAATAAAAAAAAGAATTAAGTTTGCCAAAAAATAGAT